AGAGCGTTTCATATATCCTCAGTAAATTGTGACACTTATTCTGCTTACCTTAGTTTTGCATTATGTGACCATCGAACTGACTACAAATAATTTGCTATTCAATCCGCGATGAGGTCACCTTAAATATTAAGATAACAAAGGTCATATTAATAAATATTGGGAAGATGATGTTGTTTAATGAATAGACACAGTCTATTCCTTCAGTTTAGAAGGTTTATTCTTCTAAACTGAATCGTTCGTAGTTAAACAGCCTTTTATACAAAGTGGTTAGTATTGAATTATGTAGAATGGGACAGTTTTTCGTTATTATCGCAAGTTATACCAATCTTCCAAGGTAGGCGTGAAGTTAGGGGGAGTTGCCTTGATACATTAAAATCAGCACTGAAATCTTTTCTCTGACAGATTGATCAGTGATAACTGCTACCTTTATTTTTGGTCAATTAAGCAGTTATTTAATCTAAGACTATGTGACAAGTGTATGCACCTTGTGAGGATTAAACTAAATACAGAATTTTTTTAAAAAAAGTAAACCACTTTTTGAAAAAGAATTATGAATTCTCAAACTGTTGTCTTCAAACGATGTCTTCCATGAAATTGAAAGAAATTGACCCCGAACGCGAATGAAGAAGGTGCGTAAATTTTCGTCCGGTGACAAAAGTTCATCTATAGCTTAATTGTAGACATGAATATGAATATTGTAAAATAGTTAATATCTTTTTTCGAATGTAAACCGAAACAGATCTATAAGATCAATGATTTTTCTGTCCGCTTCATAAAACAATTGACATTACCAGAAATGAGTGGCTTCAGAACTTGGAACTGGAGATCGAACTTCGATTTACTCAAGCTGTTGCATTGAAAAATATCATGTTTGGGAATCTCAAAACGATTTGCAAATTATGTATATAGATTAGATTTAATTTATTTAGTTTCGAGTCTTACAATTATGGTATTGAAACTTTATTTGAAGTGATCATTGATTCTTTGTTCTTGCCATTAAGAGCGTATTCACTCAGAAAACAGAGTAAAATATTTGACGGAAAACTCAAGTGTAATCAATCAAAATTGTATTCGCTAACGGGTGCTGAGAATTCTTTCTACGCCACACTGTGGTTTTCCAATTGAAAGCTTACAGTCACCAAACCGCGTCTCAGTCCAAAAAGAAATAATGACAGAAAAATAAAGTACGGCATTTTAGTAGTTTAGAATATTTAAAGGCTAATTCTACTGTACATTTCTTATGTTGCATGTGTGCATTTATTGTACTCTTTTCATTGTTCCTGGACTGAAGAAAGAAAAACGGACAGAAGGGTGTATGCCTCATAAACAAATAGTATTTTGTTGATACAGGAAAGTAGACAAATGAAGTTTGTTTCTTTTCTTAAAATGTTTTCATTTTCAGCAGACATCAATATGAAAACCAGTAAGCTTTTTTTTAAGCTTTTCCCCCCCAAGAAAGGCGGGAGTGCCACTAGCACGCAAGGGGTTACGGAAAGTGGAAGCAAGAAAAAATAAGCGTGATAGAGGAAAGGATGAGGAGAAGAACAGGAAATAGATCAAGGCAACTGGAGATATCGATTGACATTGCATTTGAATAGTTGAAGATTATAACTATCAGGGAAGCAAGTTAGAGGAAGAGAGTTCCACAGACGGGAAATACATAAAAAAAAAAAGTTCTCGCACCAGTAGAATAACAAGATATAATCTTCGGAAGTTTGTGCAGCTGTTAGAGGCTGCTAGCAAAACATCGGCGGGCCGAGTTCGAACTCCGATCGGACGTGATATTCATTTTCGCATAAATACATTTTCTTTTAAATCATTTCACCTCAAACAAGGTAATAAAGCCACTAGGATGCAAAGGGTTACTGAGTGTTAGAGAATATGAGAAAAAGAGGAGAGGACAATAAAAGAATTAAGAAGACAGAAGATAACGATTGACATTGCATTTAATTTTTGAAGATCGAAGGCAATAAAGTCACTAAGATCCAAAGGGTTACGGATAGTGAGAGAATGTGAGAAAAACTAAAATCAAGGAGTGAGGACAATAAAAGAACAAGAATTAAGAAGAAAAGATAACAATTGACTTACATTTAAATTTTTTAACATAAAAATTGACTGGGAAGCCGGAAGAGAGTTCCGTAAACGAGAAGTGTAAGAGAAGAAACTCTTAGCATAGAACTTACGGTTACATATCGTCATTTCAACTGTAAACTGATGAGACCTTGTTGCCAAACTAGTAGTATGCTTAAATTCATAAAGTCTAGGTACCAAAGAGGAAAGCTCATCAGAACAATTAGCATGAAAATATTTATAGGGAAGCTACATTACGGCAGTGGGAAAGTAACCGAAACCGAGATGCCATAGCAGGACCAATAACATTGGAGATTCTTCTTTGGATTTCATTAAGAATCTCTAAATATATAGCAGGAGCACAAGACCAGATGCAGCAGCAATATTCAAAGCATGGACGAATGTAAATATAAATATGTAAGATAAATTCTGGCGAAAAAAAAAATTCTAGCTGCCCGATCATCTCTCTTCATATCGGAACAAGACAGTTTTATGTTCTGATCTACACCTGGCAGCTAGGATGATATCTTTCACGTCAGCCCATTGTTGCATTTCGCCTCTCTGGTGGTTGGGTGTGACATTGAGTTAAGTTACATATTACAAATGTATTGGTATTCTACGATTTGAGTATTAGAGATTTGTGACAAATGGCATCACGTAAGATACTGACTTATAGCAGGACTCGAAAACTAGCATGGAGTCGAATACAATTTGTTTTTAGCAGAACATGAATAAATTGATATTTATTAAATTTGGGTTCATGTAGAACAGTTAAAATAAATGGACACTAGGTAAGACTCAAATTTACTTTACCAACTGGCCTACAAAATGAACTTTTAAACATCACTCTAGAGTAGACGCCCAAGATAGTGAAAGAGAAAAAGACTGAGATAGAACTAGTTATCTACCAATCTTAGCTTGATCTAGTAAAATACCGATTAGTAGGAGTCTTCAATGGGGATTGCCCTAAGTAGATTAAACAAAGGTTGTTAAGAAGGAATGAAAATAATGATATATATTCTTAAAGCCGTAGTGAGAGGTAAGACAATGGAATTGGGCATGGCTGATCATGTATGGAAGGAAAAGTGTAGTCATTAGCCCCTGTTCAATGAAATGAAGATACTAGACAATGAAAAACACTAGAGAAACAATTGGCTGAAAGAATCCGCGTATATACTATGCTATGAAGAGCTTCTTAGTAGACCCAGCATATAAATAAATACGATATGGAAACGGTTAATAAAGAAAGAAAGACAAATGACAGTAGCAATGGTCACAACATGACAGGCAGCAGCATTAACTAGCAGGCAGGTTAGGTTTAAGGCTCCAAGTTCACTACACCAAATTATCCTACGGAATAATGGCCTAATGGATTAAAACGTTGGTTTGTGAATAGAAAGTGCGAAGCTGAGATCCGAATTCGTATTGAGATGGTCAAAGACGAATTTCAAAAGCTAAGCAGAGTTTTAGGAGATAGGAGAGTTTTGTTGGTAACAAAAAAAAAGGGTACGGAACTGCTACGTCCTATCTGTCTTCCTTTACGGCAGCGAATGTTGGATGGTCTCCTCAAGGAGGAAGAAGAGACTCGAGGCAACATAAGTGTGATTCTACAGAAAGATACTAAGGATACCATTGACTGAACATGTGAGCAACGATGAGGTTTTGGAGAGGATGCAAACAAAGAGAAAACAATCTTAACATCTGGAGAGCCATGATCGCCTACGTCCTGAAAGGACACAGCGCATATATGAAGAAATGGTTGTGATGTGAGATGAGAAGTATGTACTTTTAGTCAGTGTAAACGGTCGAGCAATAACTGAGTAGTATTAAAATTAAGAACTAGATGAGACATTGGTAGTGGAGCGAGAACAGTCTACCCACGTAAATTAAATAAAGGGTTCAGTTCAGAATTCCCTGTAGGTTATCATGATCAATATACACATGATGAAAACTGAAAGGTACAGCCGAAAGGTTCAGATAGTAAAAATAATTATAAAGACAATATACTGCAGATAAATATTGCAAATAATGGTAACTCCTCATCACAGAAATTCATACAAAGATAAATGTTGCTCAGGGCTACAAGAGATGAGGACAATAATTCGAATATAAATATTGTAAATAAGTATTTCTTTGTCCATTCATCTTTTCAGCTCTGGCACAGCTATATAATTTATATATAATTTATATATAATTTATATATAATTTATAATCTATATATGTTACAGTTTCCTCTTAATTTTTAAGATTGGATACTTTTTCACCTTGTTATAGCTGCAACCCCCAACAAGGCTTGCCAATCTGGACAAAGAAAAACACTGGAAAGTGAGATGTCCGAAAAATATCAGCACATATGCTCTATGAAGAGCTCTTCAGTAGACCAAGCATAGAAATAAATACCATATGGGAGTCGTTAATAAAGAAAGACAAATATCAACAGTAGCAGCAGTACCAAAAGGGGAAAAAAGCAGCGGCAACAGCACTCATCAGCAGGCAGGTTATGTTTAAGGATCCAAGTTCCCAACACAGTATTTTATCACGGGGCAATAGCCTAGTAGATTAAAACGACACGGTAATTGTGAGTTAAATCTCTGGGCGGTATTACGTGTACTTGGAATCGGAGGGGACGTGGCTAGCCTTGATTGAGCAGTAGTAAAAGCAAATTGGCAGTAGAACGAAAACAATCTATCCCCGTTGAAAGGGTTCAGTTCGAAATTTCCGAGGAAGGCCGGCGGGGGGGGGCACAGGAGCCGCAACATGATAACAACAGCAAAGATGGGGACAATAGTCCGCATGTAAATACATGCTCTTTGTTAATATAAGCAGAAGGTCAAATGTCAGAGCAGGAAGATTGTGATACGCCAATCTTTCAAATAGGAAGAACATACGTGAATGAGAAATCGAAATAGTAGCTTTTCCTGCACTTGAAGTCCGCTCTCTCTCTCTCTCTCCCTCTCTCTCTCTCTCTCTCACACACACACACACACACACGCACACACGCTCTCTTTCTCCCTCTCAAACCTTGTTATTCTCTTCCTCTTTCCCTCTCTATTCCTTTATACTTTTTTCCTTTTCCCTCTTTTTTATCACGTCTCATGCTCTCTTTCTTCCTCTATCTACTTCTATCCTTTTCTTTCTGCCTCTCGCTATCATGACTTGACCCAAAAAGTTGTGAGTTCAATACCTGGCTACAGTAGAGGACGACGAAAAACTTGGAGAGTTTAGTTACTAAAGGGAAATAACTGAAACTGAGATATCCACGTGGAACATAGAACAATCTACCCCGGTGGATTAAATAAAAAGTTTGGTTCAAAATTCCAACGTATATCACCTGAAGAAGACCGGAGCGCACAACGGCCAAAACGTCGTTAATATGACAATAAAAATGAGGACAATAGTCCTAACAATGTAAATAGTGTAAATAGTTACATTACATCATCTCAGAAATATAGACAGATCCTGAAGAAGGCCGGAGCGTACAACGGCCAAAACGTCGTGAATATGATATACTCTTGCAATCTGTCTTCCCGTGTATCCCTCTCAATCTCTCTCTCTATCTGTTCCCTCTCTCTCTCTCTCTTTCTCTCTCTCTTCCTCCTCCTCCTCCTCTTCCTTTTGTTGTTTAATAAATATAGGCATTCATTTACTAAGGTTGAATTAGTGCATCACATGCAAGGCACCCAGCGTGGATCGAACTTGTTACTATTACTTTATCTGCAAGACGATGTGATATTTACTAAGCTTAACTTAGCACCGTACAAGGATAATAATACGTGAGGAATTTTAGCAAGTCAATCTCGAAAACTATTATTATTACTACACAAAAGCCTGTTCAACAAAAGAAGTTGTGGAGAGCCACGATCTTCCACGTTCTAATAGGACATGGCACATAAAAGAAAAAATATTTTTAAAAAACTAGCTTGGTATCTTGTGCTGCCCGACAAGGAGGTGTCCATCATTCAGTTCATATAAACGACCTTCGTCAACCGATGGAGACTGAAATGCGTGCTGTGTGTGTGTGTTTAAGGGGAGCCACTATTGCTGTGTGTTCTTAAGCGTCGGCGTGTGTTCATTGTTAGTATTTCTTCTTTTTTATTATTATTTCCCTTCTGAGTGGAGAACACATAATATCATCCGGCTTAGAAGGAGCCGACGAGAAAGGGAGACGAGCGAGACGTTAGCTGATCAATAGATGCCCTCCCCCACACACTTGCCGAGCGGAGAGGAAATGACTCTACAAAGTATTCGGGCGATGAGGGGGCGGATATGGTGTTGTCAGGTAAGAAGGAAGATCAGGTTAGGGGTGAGAAGCAGTAATTATTTTCAGTTAAACACGCACGGACGATTAACGCGACACGACTAAAAAGAGTCCAGACGCGGATGGAGACAACAAGAGAAGGGTAGGTAGGGATTTGTCTCTTCCCAAACACCCACGCATCAGGAGGAGAAGCATATGAGAATGTTCCTATATTTGTACGATCACACGAAGAGGAGGGGGCAGTGATAAAACGGCTTCGTAAAACATGTACACACTGGAGTGTTTGGGTGACTGGATAAATCAAACTACTGGCGACTGAGAGGTCCAAGTTTTCCTCTAAATATCCAAACCCTGCTATGGTTCATGAATTCAAATAAGATAAAGGAAACACACCAAATCTCTCTCTCTCTCCCTCCCTCCCCCCTCTCTCTCCCCTCTCTCTCTCTCTCTCTCTCTCTCTCTCTGCCTATATATATATATATATATATATATATATATAGGTTCTGAAGAATGAAGTGCTGTCAAGCTTCTAAAATTATCGGGAGTTTTTAATATTTTGATACAATCGTGGCTCTCCATAATCTCTTTTTATTCAGCAGACCTTTTACAACCAGATTAATGACACTAGTTTGTGAGTTTGTATATTAATATATATATATATATATATATATATATATATATATATATATATATATATATATATATATCTTCATTCAAACATGTTTCATTGAATAATATAGACGTATTGTGTCTACTTATTTTGTACTGATCCTTTCCAGTTGAAGTTCATCAAGAAAGGCACCATAATTTTTACCGAAGTACTTTCGACCTTTTCTAAGATCATCTTCAGGCGTAAATTACAAACATATTGTAACTATGATCTGCAGTCCGTTGTGATGGTGATTTTTTAAAATACGCCTGAACGCATTCTAAAATTTGAAATTTATCCATTGTAGTTATGGAATTTCTTTGCGAAATCGTTTCAATATAAGAGAGCTGACCGGAAATTGGTAGAAATATAAAATGACATTAGATGTTAGATGCAAGTTAATATGTTGTTGCTATATTCACAATAGAATTTGTTGAGTGTTGGTTGATTTTGATATAGAGGGTCTTGAGGAATTGAAATTTTGTTTATCTCTATATTTATAGTGTTGTTCGGTTGATTTTGATATAGAAGGCCTCGAGAATTTGAAGAATTTGAGAACTTTATCGCAATTACAACAAGTTTTTCTCTGAAGATAAACTTGGAAGAGATCGAAAGTACTTGGGTAAAAAACAAAACTACTGCGCATTCCTCTTAACATCTGGAAACTGATTAGAGAACCAGAAAGAATCTCTATAAAATCAGTAGACACAATGTCTATATAATTCAATGATATATATATATATATATATATATATATATATATATATATTATTCGGGCTGTTCTCCTCATCTTTGTTGTCATGTTCATGTTACATGCTCCGGCCTTCCTCAGGTGATTGGAATTTCGAACTGGACTCTTTATTTCGTCCACTGGGGTAGAGTGTTCTTGCCTCACGTGACATGCCTCTTCTGGATGTCTCAGAGATCAACACTTGACAAGATGAAAAGGATCAAAGTAACTGGACTGTAATAGAGATGCTAACAGTTTGGGATGATTTCCATTTCGACGACATTACGGAAGTAATAAATGAAAGATACAACAGTGATGACATAGCGGAAAAACTTAGTAAATTCACTTTCACAGAGCGGCCATTTGCAAATAAATGCAAAGTTACACATAGAACAATAACGTTAAGGTTTCGTTACAAACAAAACGAACGCGATTATATCCTATTCTCAAAATATCATAGAGCAATAAAAATTCAGAAGGATGTGTACTTATGTTTTATAGATCAGGCATATCAAGCTGAGAGTCTCCTGAGAGGTACATGGTCACATGTGTATTGTTATGAGGACCACACACGACAACCAGTTGTGCACATAACTAATTGGAGCCATTTAATAAAATTTAGCGCAAAATATTTTGTTACTTAGAGTTAGAAACACAGTATGCATACAAATGTTTAAGCAGGATTTATGTATACAAAGTAATGAAGTAGTTTAAACAAAAATAAATAAATTTTAAAGAATAACATATAATTGCAGTCTACAACAGCAACAAATAAATTGTACAAAAATGACAATAGTTCAAAACTGAACATTTATTTGTCACTATTGAATTATTTTAGTTTTTTTAGCCTGTGGCTTGACACCTCTTTTTGCTGACAATTTTCAGTATGTCTCGCTGAAATGTCTGTTCAGTTTCGACTTTGATCAGAGATGAGAAATGTTGATTTGTTAGCCTTGTTCACTGAGAAGTTTTTGTTGATTTCATCAAGAAAAATAACTATTCACACACATAGAACCAAACATTGACATAATCTTTGTGAAAAACATTCTGAAGTTTGTAAACTTTTCAGGACGGTATGAAAAGAACCCAGGTATTCCTACTTCAAGACACTTTGCTCTGAGTGTAGAATCCGACTGCATTTCTAATAGTTCCATCTGCAGGCTTACTTCTGTCTTGACAACATCAAAGGTGACTCGAGCTGAGAATAATGCAAACTGATGTTCAAAAGATGATAAATCACTGAATCTTTTCTGAAATTCCTTTGACAACAGTTCCAAGTGACTCTGTCATAATTGACAAAGCTAAGTATAATCTCGGTATTGACAATGTTTTTCAAAAATTTTCATTTGACAACTGTGACTTAAATAAGCTTAGTTTTGTAATGAAGCATTTAATGTCATCATACAGTGATAAGATTAGTTTTACTTTGTACTTTCAAATTAAGATCAGTTAATTATGTCAGTATTATCCACAGCAAAAGCCAGATATTGGAGCGAAACTTTCATCTTTTATTTCATCTGTGTTTTCAGCAATTTGTGACATGACAACCAGCATACTTCTGCGTCGAATGGCACATCGGTGCACTGATTATCCATATCTTCCAACAACTGACTGAACTGACAGTGGTTGAGAGCACGACTTCTGATAAAATTCACTCTTTGTAACCAAGCTAATCCCATGATCCAATTTTAAAATCTTTGAACACAAATTTGGCTGATGAATAATACAATAAAAATGTACAAATGATGAATATGGATGTGAATTTTCTAGTTTTCTTCGTAACTTGGCAGCAACACCATTATGTGTGCCAATCATATTCGCAGCACTAGCATGGCAGTTTACTCAAATCAAAACTATATTCATGCAAAACCTGCTCAAATCTCTCAAAGATGTCCTGGCTTGTTGTAATGTTATGAATGGAGACAAGATCAATCTGTTCCTTATAAATATTAAATTCACTGTCTTTTCTGTCTTCATTGACTTGAATGAAGATCACGCAATCAAGAATTAATATGTGGCTTTGATTCGACATAGTCTTGCTGAAGTAGGTAGTAAGCAGATAAGCTAGAACTCTAAATCTCTACTTGTTTATTCCTTCTACTGACGATTTTCGGCGTCCGAATTTATGTACTTGAACGAGTTCAAGTCCTCTTCCAGAGAGGTGTGTTTATCTCCACAACACTATCACAAGCCCTGATAGAAAAATGTCCAAACCGTCATGATAAAGCCTTCAGCTGTTGTTTCAAATCACCTGATATTTCATCAATTCGTTCATCAACAGTGTTCCTGGTTAATGAAATGTCTTTGAATAAACGTACTTTCTCTGAACATTACAATTTCAATTGTTTTTACAAGGCATTGCTTTACAAAATCTACTTCGCTGTAAAATTTCCCACTCATGGCTATCATTCAGCTTCATATTCATATTCTGCAGTAACGGAAGCGACATTCTGTTTCTCAATGCTCGTAAAAAAAGGTCTGTTGCTGTGTCAAATTATCCTTCAATTCCTTGAGTTTT